TTGACTCATACATGAAATTAATAATCAATCATCCTATTTGTTTTTTCTTCTTTAAGACAGCACATTTTAGTCCATCGCTGGTTCTTGTTTGCTCCATGGCTGTCCCTTGATTGGTCCTTGGCTGGTCCATGGCTGGTCATTGGTTGGTCCTTAGTTGATACTTGGCTGGTCCCTGGTTGGTTCTTGGCTAGTCCTTGGTTGGTTCTTGGCTAGTCCTTGGCTGGTCCTTGGCTAGTCCTTGGTTGGTTCTTGGCTAGTCCTTGGTTGGTTCTTGGCTAGTCCTTGGTTGATCCATGGTTGGTCCTTGGTTGATTCTTGGGTGATTCTTGGCTGGTCCTTGGCTGATCCATGGCTGGTCCTTGGTTGCTCCTTGGATGTTCCTTAGCTAGTCCTAGGCTTTCCTCTAGGTGGTTCTTGGCTGGTCCTTTGTTTGTCCTTGGCTGCTCCTTGATTGGCCCTTGGTTGGTCCCAACTTTCCTTGGTTGGTCCTTGGCTGGTGCATGGTCCATGAGTAGTCCATTGCTGGACCTTGATTTTCCTCGGATGGTTGTTGGCTGGTCCTTGGTTTTTCCTTGGTTGGTCCTAAGCTTGCCCTTGGCTGCTCCCTAATTGGTCCCTGGCTGTCCTTAATTGGTCCTTGGCTGCTCCTTGATTGGTCCTTGATTGGTCCCCACTTTCGTTGGTTGGTCTTTGGTTTGTCCTTGGTCGGTCCATGGGTAGTCCATTGCTGGTCCTTGTTCTTCCTTGGATGATCCTTGGCTGGGCCGTAGTTTTTCCTTGGTTGGTCCTTAGCCTTCCCTTGGCTGCTCCTTGATTGGTCCTTGGGTTGTCCTTGATTGGTCCTTGGCTGGTCCACGGCCGGTCCTTGGTCGGTCATTGGCTCGTCCTTGGTTGGTCCTTGGCTGCTCCTTGGTTGGTCCATAGCAAGAACTTGGCTGCTTCTTGATTGGTCTTTGGCTGCTCCTTGACCCCTTGCTCACACTGGCTCCAGTGCAGTTACCGAGCCGACGGAGACCGCAACTCCCGCACACCCCCT